GAGGAGGAGGAGGACCCTTACCCGGCCTAGCTCCTGTCCGGCCGCTCGGTGCAGGCGCCCCGGGCATATCCACCCGCATTTCCCGCTTAGTACTTGGGGAAAGACCACAAATACTGTGTTTTTCATAGGTTTGGGAGGTTTAGGGGACACCTTGGTATTACCCAGCCAGACCTGAGAGCAGCAGCAGGCCTGTGAGCTTCCCACCTCTCTGAAATACAGTTTTCATGAAGTTGCCTAAACTTGCGGTGACTGCAAGGGATGGTGAATGCGCCGCGTGCCTCAGTAGACTGACGAACGACTTGCCTTGAACCTTAGGAGGATAATGCTTCATGGGTAGTTTCAGATTCCGGTCATCTGCTTCTGTTCTCTCTCACAAACTAAAAAGTAAAATTAATTTTCTTACCTGGTATTTTCTTCTGCAAAGGAAAATTTATATCCATTGCATGTTGCAGTTACTATCACGGTTTGTTTTTATAAATTGAACAGATTGAACTTTCTACGTCTCCCAATGCCAGACATTCTCCGGCTCTTGAATATTTTATGAATATTAACTGAAAATTTATTGCTGATTAATAACAGAGTAGGATAGTGAGAAATAAAACCAAATCTTAAAACACCTTCCCCCCATCCCTCCCTTCTTCCCAGGCTTACCTTTACTCCCAATTTTCTCTACCTCCTTCCCCCACAGAGGCTCAGGGGGATGGGGAATGGGGGTTGTGGTCAGTTCATCACACACTGTCTCTGCCGCTCCTTCCTCCTCAGAGGGAGGACTCCTCACACTCTTCCCCTGCTCCAGCATGAGGCCCCTCCCACAGGAGACAGTTCTCCACGAACTTCTCCAATGTGGGTCCTTCCCACGGGCTGCAGTTCTTCACGAACTGCTCCAGCGTGGGTCCTTTCCACAGGGTGCAGTCCTTCAGGAACAGACTGCTCCAGTGTGGGTCCTCCACGGGGTCACAAGTCCTGCCAGCAAACCTGCTCCAGTGTGGACTCCTCTCTCTCCACGGGGCCACAGGTCCTGCCAGGAGCCTGCTCCAGCGCAGGCTTCCCACGGGGTCGCAGCCTCCTTCGGGCACATCCACTTGCTCCATTGTGGGGCCCTCCATGGGCTGCAGGTGGATATCTGCTCCAGCGTTAACCTCCATGGGCTGCAGGGGGACAGCCTGCCTCACCATGGTCTGCACCACAGGCTGCAGGAGAATCTCTGCTCTGATGCCTGTAGCACCTCCTCCCCCTCCTTCTTCACAGACCTTGGTGTCTGCAGAGTTGTTTCTCTCACATATTCTCACTCCTCTCGCCGGCTGCTGTTGCGCAGCAGTTTTTACCCTTTCTTAGATACATTATCACAGGGGCACTACCAATGTCGCTGATGGGCTCAGCTTTGGCCAGCAGCAGGACCATCTTGGAGCCAGCTGGCATTGGCTCTGGCCCATATGGGGACAGCTTCTGGTGTCTTCTCACAGAAGCCACCCCTACAGCCCCTCTGCTACCAAAACCTTATCACGTAAACCCAATACAATCAAATTTTTGCACTCTTAAAAGAGTTTCAAGGCAAGACTTAAAGGCTGTATTGCAGTATCACTTTCTCAGTGAAGTACTCAATGGCCACAAATAGCTCATGAGCCGCGTACTGCCTAGGATCCTTTTGGCACAGGACAGTGGTGGTTCACACCCAGGTGCTCATCTGTTCCCTCCTAAATGCTTTCAGAGTTGCTGCTTTCTGGATTACAGTGGCCTGTTCTGCAGGTATGGTCTGCCTGCCTTGTCTGTAGGTGACTACACATCCGGCTGTATTATCTAGTGATGGTTTACTCCTGGCAACTGCTTTTAAGACTTGTGTGCTATTCTTTAATTTATTGTGGGTTTTCATTATATATGGCTAAGTTCATTTTTAAACCAAATAGCTGAAACAGTGGTGGCGTCTGCACTAAGTGCCAGATGTAGCTAAGCAGGGAGATTTTGCTGCCCGTTGTTTTATGAGTTGCTTTAGGTAAAGGCCACTTACTGTTATGAGAGCAACATGGTACTGATATGTTTTAGACTGTGGTAGCGGTGTTAGCTTAAGCAGCTTCCCCAGCTGTGTCTGCTCTTGTGCAAGCCCCAGGACTCTTGTTTGCTTGCCAGTGTGGTGAACTGAATTGGATCTCGTAAGATGGCTTAAGAAGCAGTGGCCCATCTGAAGCCACAGCCTGAGCTGGCTTTAAACAGGCTAACTTGCATTCTTATGACAACAAAGGGTTAGGCAAAACAAGACCTACAACTTCGGTAAGAAGGAAGTTTGGCCACATGAAGCCTCATGCTGCCAGCGCACATCCTGCCTCTCTTTGACTGGCAAATAAGGCGTCGGAGGTAGGTGGCAGCTGATCCCTTTTATCTGCACATAGCTCCCTCCTAAACAGTCACACTTTCTCCCATAATCTCATTGTAAAATTCTCTTCTGTGCCTGCTTAGGCATTCGTCTCACCACTGGGATATGTACAACTGGTATGTCGATTCATACCTTTGCTAAGGAAAGGATTCAGGGATTTCACATTTCAGGTCTAATCGCAAACCCACGCATTCTTGCCACACAGCTCTCCCCGAGGATGAACGGGCCTGTCCGATGTGACATGTTCAGAGGCCCATGCATGATTCATCAGCTTCTCAAAACAACCACTCAACTCTCCAAAAGAACTAAAATCACTGTATGAAAAAAGATAAATTTATGTATCCCCAAGCACAAATTCTGCATCCACATTTTGCCAATTTAGCCTTCTCTTTACTGTGGTCATGACATTAAGAAGAAATTATCTCAAATTTATTTATTTAAAAGATAGACACTCAACTAAGCTAATTTTTTAAACTCTTAATAGTCAGAGGTGAGTTGATTAATCCCGTTTGACTAAACACCTACTTTTTAGATAAGAGATGAATCCACCTGTGGTATTCAGAGGGTGGCTTACTCCAATTACAGTAGTTTTCACATAGTACGGAAATGATCCCATTTATCACATTTTGAGATATATTTTGAGATATTTTAATAGGAAGTACATTAACTCTTTTAAAAATACTTTTGTTTCAATACTTTCCATGGGAAATCTCAAACAAGAATTTATTGTGATTATTAATGGGGTGTTTGCTGATCTCTATTAGGTTGCATACCCCGCACTCAAGCTCTGTCAGGGCGGTCCCTTAAAATGTGGTAGTTTCCAGTTTAGGACAACACTGAAAGTAGTTTGATTTTAATGAGTGCTATCCC